CCCCCCCACTTAGTCATGATTCAGCACATGTGTGTACTTCAAAGCTCTCAAGGTGTCTCAGCCAAATAAATACTTAGATCACTGAAAGACGTTAGAAAAGGGCAGCGATGGCGGATGTGATTCTTTTCCAACAACAAAGAGATTAGGGTTGGCAATCGAGCAGGTTGGAGGAAGAAAAAGAAAAAAACAAAAATAGGAGTGTGAGGATGACCAAGAAGCTGTATGGGGGGGAGGAGAAACAGAGAGACGAGCAGAAAGAAGAAAAGTCTAACATTTTAAGTGGATGAAGGAGAAATGATGTAGGTGTTTCAGCCACAGCAGAGACCACCCAACGGCCTGCACGCCTTTAAAAGCCTCACTTCTTCCACTGGAACCGGCGCTCAAAAGAAACCAGCTTGTATGTTTAGCTTGTAAATGTTTAACCATCAATCAACACCATAAAACCTGACTGGATGCTCTCTCTCCCTCTATAGTCACTCTCCTCTGATTCTCATCTCTCTCCTCCCCCCATTTTTTTTATTCCCTCAGCTCCTCCGCTGTGGTGGATGCTGGGCATATGCCACAATGCCACTCCCTTTTCCTTTTTCCAATCTGCCCTCAGCTTGGTGACAGCCATCAATCAGCAGCTGCGCCATGGCGACGGAGCCCTCGGGGAGCGTTCGGCAGACCCGGAGTGAATATGCCGGGGCTTTACGATCCCTGCTGGCTAACAGAAAGGCACTCACCTCCCCCACACCGAGACAAAGGCAAGGGTCCAACGACTACCACTGTCCACATGCGCGCGCGCGCACACACACACAGACCCATACTTGATTGACCCCTAATAATCACAAAGAGACAACATCGGCTCGGCGCAGAGGGCAGCCACAAGATGCTGGAGAGGAACTCGCAGAGCTCCACACTGTTTTATCGCTGCTTCGTTGGTCTAATGTTTTCCAGGAGAGGAAAATTGTCTCAGTCAAAACAAGTTAAAGGTCTTACACCAGGAGTGGGCAATTATTCTCCCCAATGGGCCAAATAAGGAACTGTGGCTGCTGTGAAGGGCCAAACTATTGGCTGGATGTGATTTTCCCCAATTTAGGTTTGCTAAAAATAAACTGTAAATGTAGTTTTTTTGGCAACACCGCAACGAAGCAAGCTGTGACCTACCGTCACGGCAACTAAACATTTATATTGACTTAAGCATAAATGTTTATCCTTTACAAAAACATCTGCACTAAAAGTTGGACTTTGTGAAAACAGGCCTGCTTTGCACCAACAGAACATCCCACTTCTGATTTTGCAGACAAATATTTCAGCTTCATTTCTAGTTTAAACCTCCACCTCCTTTCCTGATCTGTTTTTTTTTTTCCAATATAAACTGACGTGTCTTGGAGAATCTCGCTCTGTTTATCAGAATGACAGTGTGATGTAGTTACCGAAAACAAGAATCAAAAGCATTCCCTTCAAAATAAAAGCATCTGCAGAGTCGAGTACAGCATTAAGACTTTATTCATGTTAAATTTCGTGTTTTTATTTGGGTCAGTCGAGGACACACGGGTCTTATTTACGCTGTGCATTTAAAACACTGTAGATACTTTACAAAAAACTAATTATTTATAACCTTAACGGCTTTCCCACCGTGCCACGAGATTTTGTGGAGATGCACTAATCTGACCCGATATCAGAATCAGTTTCCCCTTGAAGGACTCTGATCAGCAGTAGAGAGAAATGGTTCATGGCCTTTTGTTCATTTAATTCATCACAACTGAAAACTCAGAATTTTGATGCCGTTATGACAAAAGCGAATACCTTAATGCCCTTTTTTAAGTAAAAAAAAAAAAAAAAGGAAAACAAAAATCTTAAGTTCAGAGCTACATCCTTCGTAGCTTCGTAACTCCTTCATTTTCTGCTGCGTTCAAAAGTAACATCTCCAACAAATAACCTGTGAGATTTTTTTTCTCTCGATACTATAGTTCTTCTGAGTAAAACTAAATGAAAGCAATTTGAAGTTGGTGTCAGTCAGAAAGGTGTGACTAAAGTTTAACACTTTTTTTTTTTTTGTCAATGTCAAAGCACAAAATACAAGAAAGAAAGCAAGCATTGTGCTCATTTAGTGTAAAGAAGAAAAATATGGCTGGCTATCAAAGTAAATAACTTCTCCTGAATGACTGGAAATGATAACCCACCCACCCGACAATCCAATCTGCATAGACATCTCTGTTTTAACCCTCTGCTGACCACTGAATCCACGCACAGTCCTGGGTCACCCTAAATTATGCTGGAAACTCTTTAACCTCAAATGTTCTTTCAGCGCTCATTCTGACAAATCCTGATCTTATTTAATTCACTTAGTGCTTAACTTTCTAAAAAGAAAAAGAAAATGCGAGATGGAGAAAAAGGACGGAAGCCGCAAACAAGCAAGCAGTCCAGACTTTCTTTAATCGGAACAAGACTTTTTTTTTTTTTTTTTTTTTTGATTTTTTTTTTTTGGGGCTGGTTCAAAGCAGGAAACGGTGCAGCAAATGAAAATAACCCCCTGCCCCGCTCCATCTCCAAAATAGCATAATTATCAACATGCAAAACGCCCTTATCATGCAAATATGAAAATATTGCAATAGGAGAAGCAATGTACAACCAAATGAGGCACAAATTGTGAGTGACGTCTCATAAAGGGAGCACATAGATCTGCCAACTACTGCTCTTTCAGATCCATTAGAATTATGACTCTGCATGCACTAAGTTTCAACATGTACTTGAGCTGACACACTAACAGGCAGCCAAAGATCATTATCAAAACAAAAATGAAGTTGTGTGCAGAAATATTCTAATGATGTGTCTAAACCTTTTTTCCCCTTCCACAACGGAGGCGGGGATTAGAGGAACGCTCGACAGGTCTGACTCAGGAAATGCTGACTTCAGCTTCATTTTCCCAGAAACCTATGAAGTTCGTTCGTTTGCCCACTGACGGATGTAAAAAGTGGTTCAATTTGCTCAGGTTTTGAAGCACAACTGTGCAGAATAAGAAATTACTAAAGAAAACGCAAAACATACCTTAAAAAAAAAAAATCAGCAGCATGCAGAAAACATTTTCATTCCTAAAATAGACCAGAACTACCCACAAGTGACCAGGTACGTTCAAGAACTTGTGTTTTGTTAGCAAAGGAACATCGGAAGAGAGAGATAATCGTTCTCCAAAATGACATGATAAAAAATAAACTCAGACTTGAGCTGCAAATGAGGTGTTTTGTTTATATTACTTTATAATTAAATCAAAAAAGGAGATGAACCATTATAGATAACCATAACCAGTTTTCTTTGACTCTGACCTGCTGATTCTAACTTTTTTTAGTGAAAAAAACATTAGCTGGAGGTTGATTAATGGGAACAGTTGCTTTCCATTCAACAGAAAATTATTTTTCCCAATTTAGACGTCAAAACCTTTGTGTTTTTCTGAAGCTCAGAAAACCTTCATCAGAGAAAATTAAGTAAGTTGATTTATTTATAGGCAAAGAGTGGATTTGATGCATTTGTTGAATAGAGGGAAAAAACTTACAGATTTTTTTCAGTACTCAATCTTGAGATCAAGGGAGGAAAAGGATATCTGGCCGATTGATTGATAAACCTCAAGGTGGGGAAAAAAAAAAGGAATGTCTTTACGACTTCAAAAAGAGTTCCATGTGATTGCTACTCACATAGTCATGGAAGGCCTTTGCTTCACTGGAGTGGTCACATGTCTCTCTCCTCTCCGGTGCGGCACAATACAGGTCCCAAAAAACACTGTAGACAAGAGGAGGGCATGAGGGAGTGCGGGAGGTCATGAAGCAACTGAAACACCACAAACAAGCCTTGGACACCGTGCTACAGTATGACGAAATGAGACTCACCACCACCAGGAATGTAGGAATCCAGGGGGCTCTCCAAGGGTTATGTTTTTCTCCCATCGGATCTACGACAGGTTTTACAAACGATCAACAGATTACAGTTAAGACTGATTTTTTTTGTTGTTGTTGTTAAAAAAGGCATTTCAATAAAGTGTTGAAAACAGGGTTCAACTTTTACCCCAAATTCCACATACCTCTGATAAAAAGGTCTGTGCAGACTTCTGTGCTCCTATGTGTAACAAATATTCATAGACATATAGAGCCAACCTGTGTAGGAAAAAAATATATTAAAAAAAAAAATGAAAAAGTGAAAATAATGTGTGGCTTGGTCTTATAAACATATTGCTATAAGGTTAATTCTTCCTGTAAAATGAAGAGTAGGTGAGCTGAGTCGACTACAGGCCCTGGGAACAATGGCTGCCAAATAGCTCAAGCCAAAAATTAAATGGGGACTGGAAAACAAGCCAAGCCTGTTGAAGGTTTGCAGCATTTAATGTTGCCTAGCTGGTAAATAAAATGTATAATTTAAAGCATAAGAAGCAGTCTGAGAATGCTGTGAATAAGCTTGTGTCTTAGTGGAACTGATGGAGCTGAGGGTAATAAAAGCGAAGCCAATCCAGGCAGAGAGCGCAACAGAGAAAACAATGCACTGTAGCGCCGCGATGTTATTGTTTTCTCATTTTCCGTGCTCTCGTTTCGGACAACCTCGAAAAACGTCTCAGAGAGTTCGCTTTAAACACAAACCAGACCGCCCCTGGAGTCTACGGTGGGTGTGCGGAGAACAACAGCAAAAAGCTAAAGGCAGAAGAAACAGCTCGGAGGAGGAATGGCGAGCAGACAAGGCGGTTCATTCAATTCCATTCTCGGTAGGAGGAAATCGCCTCTTGCTAGCCTACATCCAGCAAACAACACAAAGCAACTTAGGAGGCGGAAAAATACGGAATAAATAAACGTTTCTCGGCTTACTTTTCTCGCGCTTGGCTGTCCGATGGCACCGGGGTGCCTTTGCCTTTGGGGAACATTGTTTTGTGTGGGAGGACGCCCGCCTTCTCTTTCTTTTTTTCGCTATTTCATCTGTCAGACCATCGCGGCCGCCAACCGCACTCCTCCTCGATCCAACGACTCAACCGAGCCTGGTACGGGGGAAGAGGCGGGGCCACCGCGAGCGGCAGGACAGGCGACCAATGAGAACCCAGAGCTCTCACTAAGACCCGCCCTTTTGTGCTCTCTGTTTACAGTTCTGACGTCGATAGCTTCAGATTCAATGAGCTCGATTTAAGGAACAAATTCACCGTTCCCTTATTAATTGCCCCATAATTAACAGCAAACTGACTATTCTGGTTTGTTGTTAGCCTGCTTTATTAATTTTTAACGAGAGTAGATATTTGTGTTTCAAATGTTGTTTCATATGTAAACCATGAAGCAGGATATGGTTTCTTTTATTTGATCAATCAAGTAGAGATTACAGAAAATGTAAAAGTTATTGTTAAAAACATGTGCTGAGTAAAAGAAAAAACACACCCAGACACAAACAAGATTAAAGTCCATTTCCCAACACAATGCAACATTTGTATTATTATCTAAATGAAAAGGTAAGAGGGTCATGATCCTGACTCTTGGTTGAGCATGCTAGCATTTTTACAGTTAGTTAAAAAGTGGTACAACAGCGTCACAGCAGGATCAACATCAAATAAATTACCTCACATGTTACTTTTAATTGTTTTCTAGTCTGTTTTTGTTGTTGTTGTTGGATTATTATTCATTTCTATTATGTACATCCTTTCTCTTCACCAGTTTTTTTTTTTTTTTTTTTTTTTAGGTTAATTTCTGAAGCGGACCTCAAGACGCCTTACATAGTTGTGACCCAAACTTTGGGAACTGCTGCTCTCTGTAGTAATATTATTTATATTTAGCAATAGTTTAATGTAACCCAAAGTATTTCCATACAGACTAATTTGCTTTTCTTGTAAGCTAGGACTAAATGAAGTAGCCTGTTTTTAATCTAGCGAGTCAGTAGTGCACAGAACTATGTTGCTCAATGAGCTACACAGCCCAAAGAAATCTCATTAAATGAATTTAAAATGTAGGAATGGGATTGGTTAAACATTTTCTCAGTTTTAAAGTCCAATTTGAAACAACATACTTTGATACAATTAACTGACTTATGACTAATATGAATGAATAACAGATTATACTTAGAATGTCTAAAAGAAACTTCACAGACCAAACAGAAAACAAACAGCAAATGGCTTCAGTATTTGGGTCTCTAGTTAAAACTGGCAATGCAATTGAAGTTGACTCAGTGAAACATCTGAGAAAAGCCATAACAACTATCAACATTATTAGACAGACAAGAAAAGACCCTACTGTGTGCCATGCAAAAAGGAGAAAGAATGTGTTTTTCCTTTCCTTTTTGTATTTTTCAAGATCCAAAGAGAATTCCACATTTTGGGTTTGTGCAAAAAAAAAGAAGACAAAATCTAAATTTTACATATGCTTTTAGACAATATGTTCAAAGAGAACATCTGTTATCACAGGAAAGATTATCATCCATTATAATCTAAGGTGCAGGAGTGAGGGAATGATAATTGCTGAGCAAAGGGTTTTGCAGCAACATCTGCAGTCATTCAGGCATTTTAGGCAAAGTGTTGCTAAATTTAGAAAGACAATTCCAGAGGGGGAAATAGGGAACATATTGCCAACAACCAGCCACTATTCTCAAGCAGTATCAGACATTCCCATCATCTATTGTTGCTGAAATTGAAAAGAAGATGAGATATTTAGCTCTTTTTTTTTTTTTTTAGTTAACAAGGAGGGTAAAGACTTTATTTCCATCTGGTCCCTTCAACTCCAAAACTCTTCCAAGCAGTGCTGGAAGCTGATGCAACCCAGTGGGAGGCGAGCCTCCACCCCCATCTTGTTTTCCAACATGTTGCCAGCATCATATTTAAAATGCAGATTTGTTGTCTGTGCTGTTTCCATTGCTGGATAATGTGCAAATTGCATCACAGTTGCAAATGTAATATAGTCTCGAAGTTTGAGCTACATGTGAATTTAGTATTTAAAGTTAAGTCCCGGAGGAATACTTAAAAAGATAAGTTTTGATACTTTTAAATGAGTTAACGTCACCTGCCTCTGTTAAAGCTTGGCGTTTGGACTCCAGTTCCACCTTAAAAAAAAAAAAAAAAAAAAAAAAAAGGGTTCACACTGTAAGCTCTGTAGGGGGGTGGTGTCCCTGCCTCTCCCCCTCCCTCCAGTGGCCAAACTTCTTCATTAAACTCAAGCGGCTTGTTTGCGTGCTCGGCGGCTCTCTTTCGGAGGATTGTGCGACCAAGAAAACGATCCACGGCTCGGTTCGATGTGCTCTAACAACACCTCCGCCGGCTCTCATTGGACTTCATCTGAATTTAATACATCGAGTAAGCTCTTTCCTGTGTTTTTCTTATTATAAATCCGACATGTTTAGTGTCAATTTAGAAATACGAGCATGTATAGTTGAAGAAGCGCCGTTAGAAGTTTGTAGTGAATGTTATTTCTGTGGGAATTAATCCAGAATTGCCGACGCAGTGGAAACAGGTGACTGTGTGTCTGTGTGTGACCCTGTTTAGAAATATCCCAGCAAATGCCTTCCCTGAATGCCCCATTTATCTGCTCGTCTTGAAATAGTTTGTCTGTTACACTAAAAAGGACGTGCCCCAGCCTGCAATAAAAAGCAAGTCTGTGTGTACTGTTGCATCCTGAGTGTCGTTAGTTGTAATTACATAGAAATTCAGAGCGAGCTCAGGTCAGATTTAGTGGAGGGTTAGAAAAGTTGCGGATTTAGTGAAACGTATTTGCAGATTACCTGAAGATTATGGAAAGCCCTGAGTTGGTTGAAGAATGTGTGATTCTCAGATGTGGCAAGAGACCACAGTAAAACGTCTAACTTCTGACTTCTCACTTTTATGTTGTTTACTCAACTTATGAACATGTTGTGTATGTTTACATCACTTATAATGTAGATAGCTTTACTTTTGTCATTTAAACTCTTAATACAGTACTTAATCATACTCCTTTAACTTCTCTATCTTTTTTTTTATATTTTATTAACACACTGCAACAGGAAACATGGGGGAGAAAAAGACACACGGGTTTTTTTTTTTTTTTTTTATGTAACGTGTAAAAAACATGTTTGTTATTTATTTTGTCTTTTCCTGTCTGTGTAGTTGTGAGTTATGACATCAGAGGGGAAAGATGCAGACATCATGCTGGACCCCCAACTTATCCAAGAGACCGGGGAAGTTTATAGAAACCCCACTGAGGTGCAGATGAGTCAAATCGTGCTGCCCTGCCACGCCAATCATTGCGGGGAGCTGAGTGTGGGACAGCTGCTGAAGTGGATGGACTCCACAGCCTGTTTGTCAGGTGAGGAATGAGAAATGATTGGGGGCAAGACACTTCACCCACCTTGCCTGCTGGTGGTGGTCAGAAGGACCAATGACACAATATAGAAGGGCAGGGCAGCTGTGACTACAAGCTGATTTCATTGTAAAGTGTCTTCCAGGGTCCTGAAAAGCGCTATACAAGTCTGAAGTCATTTCATAAATTCATTTATATATTTTTTCATGCATCTATGGTATTTGCTGTGCCTATTTTTCTACAAACCTTCACAGATAATAAATTCTATTATCCAAGCGCGATAGCAAGCCATCTGTTATCTTCCCATACATCAGTGAGTTTTGATAGACCATAAAATAAAATTCGGTGAAATTGAAAAGTCCTGCTGCTGGTGTAAGTGAATGAGTAAAGCTAGTAAAAAATATTCTTAATTTTAGTGTAATCTCTCCTTTCCCAGCCGAGAGACATGCAGGCTGCTCCTGTGTCACTGCATCGGTCGATGACATCCACTTCGAACACACAATAGGGTAAAGTATTATCAACACATAAAATGATCAGCTTGTGTCGTTCGTTTAGGATTAATCTACCAAACTACCCTTTGAAAGATGCTTGGAGTTGTTGATTTCAATTATTTGATTTCAAATAATTGAAATCAAATGTGGTTCATCCTGCACTCCCGTAATGTTTAGCAATGACGACAAACATCCCACATTTAGAGTTAGTTTTCTTACTGTTGACTTCAAATAATATCTGAGGGTAAAGAGGGAATATGCTGTGTTGAGTATAATCATGTTGATAGTAAAGAAGGGTCCATCTTTGTCTCTTTCAGAGTTGGACAAGTTGTCAGTATTATTGCCAAAGTCAACAGAGCCTTCACGTCCAGCATGGAGGTTAGTGGACGTCTCTCCGGTGTTTCACTAAAGTGAACCATACTTGAGTTGAGCAGCCGTATTCGTACATAAAAATGTAGTAAACATGTGAATTTCAGGTGGGCATACTGGTGACTTGTGAAGATCTTTACTCTGACAGGCAGTGGAAAATTTGTCGTGCCTTTGCCACGTTTGTTTCCAGACGAACCGAAGCTGGAAAGGTAACGGAGCGGGGACTGAAACAATCTGGAGCACACCGGCACTTTGGCGGAGCTCGCTTATCTTCTCCTGGCCGCTTTGATTCTCTGTGCGCACAGGTACAGCTCAAGCAGGTGATTCCTTATACACAAATGGAGCAGATGGAGTACAGCCTGGCAGCAGAGCGGCGGAGGATGCGACTCATCCATGCTGAGATTATCACAGACCTGCTGAGCAGCAGCACAGCTCAGCTGGGTAAGGACACAAGGTCTTTTAGAATAGATCGCCCTCTAACGTCAGAAAGATTACAGCCTTTTCTTTTGGGTCTTTCGTCAGGGGAATGTCAGGAGTATGACGACGCCGTGCCATCTGAGAAGACGCGGGTGGAGAGCGTGGAGCTGGTGCTTCCACCCCATGCCAACCATCAAGTCAGCACTTTTGGAGGCCAGATCATGGCCTGGATGGAGAATGTGGCTACAATTGCAGCAAGGTATGCAGTTATTTTTTATTTTTTATTTTTCAAGAGCTTCACTTTTAGAGAGGCTTGCAAAACTATTCAGAATATCTAACATTCTTTTATATTTTAACCCCAAATCATGAAGGCCAAGGATCCAGATAGAGATGAGTACAAAAGTAAACTTTTTGAACGCACCGCCGCTGGCAGCATCATGCTGTGGGGATTATGTATAGGAGGATGAGCAAAGTT